TGGCGGGCAGAGGAGGGGTTTAGGGCACTCCGTTGTTGACACCACGGGACCTCCAGCAGGAACTGGCTGAGTGTGAGGCAGTGGCGCCAGGGATGTGGGTGACTGATCCATTCTTGAACTCTCAGATGCTTTCGGTGACTATTCGTAGCGACATAGGTCCGGGCTCTATTCTCAGTGCTCTACAGCAGTGGTGGCAAACTGCGGCCCCTTGAGTGTGGCTCTTCCACAAAATACCACGTGCGGGTGCACACGTACAGTGCGACTGAAACTTCGTGGCCACACTCAAGGGGCCAAAGAGCCCCGCATGTGGCTCGCGAGCCGCAGTTTGCCGACCATTGCTCTACAGGAGTGAGCATCCAGCAGCCTACCAACCAGCAGAGAACGCTGGTCCTTGGTTCTGACACAAATAATTGTTTAAGTGCCTCTTTTTTTAAATGAATGCAATGAGAACAACTTCCCTGAGGCAGTGACATTTAAGATGAAGCCTGGAAGATGAGAACTGGTTGGCAAGACAGGGAGTGGGGATCGGGGGTGTGCAGAGGGGAGTGTTTGGACAGAGAACATCATGTACAGAGACTCCCTAGGTGGGAAGAAACTGGCTGTACAAGAGGAACTGGGAGGTCAGAGTGGCTGGAGTGTGGGCAGCGGGAAGGGGGAGTGTCCGGGGGTTTGATTGGGTGTCTCGGAGCAGGGTGCACACTTGCTGGGAGGAAGGGTGGGTCTGGAGCAAGCAGGCATTTGCGGGAGCCTCTGGCGTGACTTGGCTGGGACCTAACTGGGATAACAGGATGGGCCACCAGGACTGGCCGTGGCCGTGGGAAAGACAGAGGCCAAGAGGACGAAGGCATTTAGGTGGCTTGTGTGGGTCCTGAGTGGAGGCTGACCTCAGAGCCCAGCTGGATGCGGACTCGGACAGGGCTGGAGGTAGACTGTGAGATCATGGAGAGCAGCAGGCTGGGCATGTTGAGGACAGACTTGGGTGAGAGTGAGGGTGAGGGGGCAGGCGTAGGGTTAGTACCAAGTCCTGGGCCAAATGATTTTATTCCCTATGCCATTTAATTTCTACCCTGTGACGCCAATGTTTTAATTTCCATGCCACAGGCGAGGCCCTGAGGCCTGGAGAAGTTAGTAATTTGACAAAAGTGGAAGGTACAGAGGCTGGAGGCTGTGGGAGGAATTGAGGAGGTCCCTTGAAATGTAGTTGTGTGTTTGTGTGGGAGAGGGATGGGACGGTGGGAAGGGATGGGAGTTTAAGTGTGGAGAGTCAGTGCTCGGCCAGTAGGGGGAGCTGCTGTCGTAGGGGAGAGTGATGGTGGCCCGTTATGGAGTGGGTTATGTTTTGGATGTGAGCAGGTGACAGCTCTGAGGACCCCCGAAGGGCTGCATGGCCACATAGTGCGCTTTTAACCACTTCTGTGGAGTTGCTGGGCAGTCCCTCCCTCGCGCCTCTCCTCTGCCATGTGACAGTGAGGGAGGCTCATGTTGTGTCCCATTCTGCTCATCCATGAACCATCTCTCTCCTCCATCCAGGTTCCGTGTGCACCACCCGCACCAAGACGGGGGTGGGGTACCCCCAGCTGAGTGCCGTGATTGAATGCGCAGACTCTGCCCATGGCCTGAAGGGGCACATCATCTCCGTAAGTCTCCAAGCGGGGCTGGGGGGCAGGTTGGGGGGGAGGGGCATCTCGGGATTGCAGGCCCCGAGGCAGCCCTGCTTCCAGTTGCCTTTCACCCAGCAGCATCCTGTGGGCCAGGGAGTGAGCAGCATGTGGTCACAGCTCACACAGTGAGCAAGGCGGGCACATTAGTAAGAATTCTGGTCAGTAACAACTCAGAGTGGTAGGCAGCATGATGGAGGGTAGGTGGGGAGCGTTGAGGAAGTGAGAGGGCCGCCCCAGATGGGGTCTTATACAAGAGACATGTGTTGTCTCACAGTCTGGAGGCCAAGTCCGAGATGAAGGTGTCATTGGGGCCACGGACACTCTAACTCCGGGAAGGCTCTGTTCCAGGCCTCTCGAGCTTCTGATAGTTCCTTGGCTTGTGGCACCATAATTGCAGTTTTCATACGGTGCCCTCCCTGTGTGCATGTCTGTCTTTGTGTCCAAATTTCTCCTTCTTACAAGAACATCAGTCCTTGGATTAGAAGCCCATCCTGTCCTCCATCAGGAGGACCTCACCTTCGCTGGTCACATCTCAGCGGTGCGGATGTGCCAGCGGGTCAGCAGGTGCCAGAGAGAGAGCAGGCGCAGTGGCGTGGTGGGGGCAGCAGTTAGATTTTTGGGGGTTGAGACGAGTACGGGAAGGAGGTGAGGAGAGGCAGAGACAGTGACCTGACACTTCCATGAAGCTCCTGGAAGAACGCTTAGAGTGCTCAGGGGATTGAATGGATGTCGAGATGAAATCCTCACTTTATCTGTAATTCTCCTCCACCTTGTTGCCGTGACCACAGTGCAGAGTTGGAGAGAGTTGTCTCTCCCCTTCTACATGAGGTGCTCAGACAGGACAGCGCATGTCCATACCAATTGGACCAACTCAGATAGAACCATGGCTTCCATTTATGTGGATGATGCATATGTGAAATTCTTTTTTGTTTTTGTACAAATTCTGTAGTGACATATTTTTAGTGGTTCTATAACAGTGGACTCATATTGAATATAGTAAATTAAATCTTCAGATCTTTTCAGTTGCACAGTTGCTAAGCTATGCTCCCACATTAAATGCTAGGTTTTGTGTGTTTTTTAAAGTCCAAATGCTTTGAATTTCATATCTCTGGGGAATGATATCTTGTTGATTTTGGCTCAGCATTTCCGCTGTTGAGGTTTGATTCCTGGACCTGCTTGGCGGGTGTGCTAACACTCATTAGACGTCACGTATGCACATTGTCCCCCTTGAGCCTTATCACAGCCTGAGCTGCAGCTGTTGCTTCCCCACTTGTGATCTCCAGGTAACAACTGTAGCCAGGAGGCAGGTCCTTACCTCCAGCTCTAGAGCTGATTGCCTGGGCTCCTAATTCTTCAGGCCTTTCATCTACCCATCCATCCAGTCGGCAAGTCTTTATTGAGCTTCTTCTGTGTGCTAGAAGCTCGTAAATGACTGAGGTTGATTGGTTGCAGATGGAGTTCTAAGGCCTCCTCTCAGGGCCCCTCCCTTTAGCTTTTGCCACAATGAACAAATTAACACCCACTTGTTAAACAACTAGTGTGTACAGGCTGACACAAAGCTGTCATCCTGCATTTGCTGAGTGAGGTGACTGACCGAGAAGTCATCAGACTGCACTCTCTCCAGTGTGCCCGTTGGTTCTCAGAGGCTCACAGTAGCCTTGTCTTGGGCTGCTGCATGAGAATCACCTGGGAAGCTTTGTACAGTTGACATTCCTGGACCCCATCCTGGTGAATTTGACTTTTCAGAGGTTGACCCCCAACGCACCATGTCTCATCAGCCATAAGTCTCTATTACCATCAAGAATCTTAATCAGAATTCAGATTCTCTATTATACACCTTGAATGGCTACCATTTCCAAATTGGTGGAGGTCAAATTCGTAGGTTTACTATGAACACATTCCACGATCCCATACGTGTGCCTTTCCAGAAATGTCACACTTGCTTAGTTCACGGGACCGTTTGTGGGAGGGGTGGAGGCTCTGCTAGCACCGCAGTGACGGACGGGCAAGCGGTTTGGGCTCCGTGCACAGCACACCTAGGTTCTAGCTTATTTCAGGAGTTCTGCAAGCGCGGTGCCCAGAACAGCAGCATCAGTATGAACTGAGCACTTGTTAGGGAAACTCGGATCCCATCCAGACCCGAACCTGGAAGGCGGACGGTGAGGCCCTGGAGTCTGTTTTCACAAGCCCGCCAGGTGCTCCTGCTGTGCTGGCAGGACTGAGAACCGCCGGCGTGGCTTCTGCAGTTCGGGTCACTGTTCCAGAGGCAGGTCTTATCTGCTCACGCCAGGGAGCGAGCGGACTGGTCAGCTGCGGCAGTGTGGTCTGGTGCCCCGAGGGGCTTAACTTCCCATTAACGCGCGAGGTTTCCTAGATGGGGTTCGGAGTTCAGTTTGATCAGATGAAGTTCGCAGACTGATGTGGGGTCTGTGGGCTGGACTTCAGCTCCTTCCTTCTGCCCAGCTGAGTGTCTCAGGCTTCAGAGCCGCCGTTTTACCCACCGTCCCTTTGACTAATGGAGTTTCACAAGTAGTTTTCCCCCCGCTTGCCGGCCGCCCTGACCCCGCTGGAAACCCGTCAGACGTTTTGGATCCTGCCACTCCGTTCAGTTGCCTTCCAGCTGTCTCATTCCCCCCTTAGCTGCTGAGCTAGCACGTCCACG